TCGTGAAAGTTTGGATCGGTTTTGCGAGTCGACCTTGCCCAGATTGGAATTGTACCGGTAAATTGTTCCCCGGAGTTGAATTATAACGCTCCGCCCGTTCGCGGCAATTCCATTTGCCGACTTTATTGCGTTAACCGGTAGAACGACTGCGAGACCGTGAGAGCACAAGAGTCTCTCTCTCTCTCTCTCTCTCGATGGAAAACGCCGAGGTGATAGATCAAAAGGCTTTGTCAAGAGCGGACCTCTACAAAACTCCCCCTCTTGCAACGTCTCTTCCGGCTCCTCTGCGAGAAGAGTCGATTACCGGGACGTCTGTGCGCCGCGGTCTGTCAATGGGGGTTCGTGAGATCACGCTGGCAAAACCCTCTCTTGCCCAGATGATTTCGATGGCGCGGCGAAACCTACGGGCTGCGAATTCTCGCTGAAAATCGAGAGCTTGTTGAAAGCAAATCGGATAACGGGAATTGTAAACCGAAAATTTGCTCCGCGAGTGCAAGTGAGCGCGAGGGCAATCTCTGTTTTGGAAAAGTCGTTTCACGAAATCTCGTGAACGCGTGGGTAGCTACGTTCTTTAAAGTATTCGTAGTTCCTACGAATTTTCGTCAGTTTGATCCAAGTGAGTGAAAATTCTGATTAATTCGCGAGAGTGGATGGGAGAAATCGATTGGAAAATATTAGAAAGTTCGAGACGAACCAAGTTTTAAAATTTTGATTTCGAGAAGGAAGAATTGGAAGATTTAACGAGGTTCGTTGAAGATTGAAGGAGGAAATGTAGAACGCTTTTTGAATGGTGGCGTCTTTTATATTCGCGTGGCAACGAAACCGTAAATTTATCATTGTAAGTATTGCCACGATACTCTCTCTCTCTCGAAACCTCGAAACTCGAAAGCGAAACAGTTTCTTTGTGATGAAATTCTGAAATCCGCGCTTATAATCTCCGAAACTTATAATCTCCATGGTAGATTGTACCGAAATCTCATTAATTTTCGCAGGTGTTTGGAAAACGTTGTAAACAAGTTTGCTCATTTCGCCGAGTTTCTTCCAACTTGATTCGATCGAATTAAACTGACACTCTGGTTATTTCACGGAGGGTGTACATACTTTTGTAAAAATAGAAGAGCATTTTGGTTGAATAGCAAGAGATGAGAAAATCCGGTAATGAATTACCGGATCAGCTTGAAATCCACTCTGCATTTTCGAAATAACACGAGAAATTAAATTATGTACGTTGGAAGAGAATGAATATAATACGCGCCTACCAAAAAAAAAATAATAAAAAAATATACAATTACAGCGGATCTCGTTAAACCAGAATCCATTCGTAAGCTACTGGTTCTTGAAACATCTGATATATGGAAACGATCTACTTCACAACGCAACAGAAAAACTTTATTGTAACAGCTGTGCGTCAAAGTATCTTCGACGTTGTGTATCGATTTCGCGTCCTTTTCCTCTCTCGTCTCTCTGCGAATTAGCTCCCCGTTAAATCGTAACGAGGATGAACGTTATCCCCTCTCGTAAAAACATGACGTGAAGATTTAGGGAGAACGAGTGCGACAAAATTTTTTTTTTTAATAGGGTTCGTTAATGCCGGAGATTAGCTGCGACGCTATCCACCCAGGGAAGTTTCCCACCCTCCGAAAAAAGAGACCAGAAGAGGAGAAAGAGAGAATGAGAAAGAGAGAGAGAGAAACAGTGGGGGAGGGAGAAAAAAAATGAGAATTCGACGTGCCCGATGGTGGAAACCGGCTTATCTGAAATCGGTCTGACGGCCGCGTACGTCCCTCGTTCGTGGACATTTTGCATGCCGTTTCGTCGTTTTAATTATTCCAAATGTCCGCCCGCGCGCAACATCGAGCCGTAATCAAAAGTTCCGTGCTCCTGTGCCGCGTTATCGCTCAAAGTTCCCTAATCCAATCCGGCTCTTTATTCTCGTCCGTGTCTCGCGTCCCTTTCTCCCGAATTTCGCCGCGTCGCGTCGATATTTTTCACGTTCCCGGACGCAATCTGAGAATCTGTCGGGGAAATTGTTTTTCCATTCCAGCGAGTTTAAGTCGCAGCAATTTGTAACTTTCGCGCTTTGTGCTCGGTGGTAAGGTTGCCTCTCTTAGTGAATGGATAAAATTGCTTAAAAAGAAAAGTATTTTCTACGGTGTGAAGTTATCCTTGCTATAATACTAATTGCATTAGAAATCTTGAGTGAATCTCGAATTGAAAGTTAGAAAGTTGAATTCAAACATCACGACTGAAACTACTCGTCTCCATTTACTAAATTTGGATGTTTTACATATTTTTTTTTTTTTCGTATTGCGTGCAACGTTTAACTTTGAAACGAAAGAAACGAACTTTTACTGAAAGTGAAATACTCACGTCTCTGAAAACGCGCTGTAACGAATGAAACGTTACAGGTTGAAATAGATACCAAGATGCGATAAAAAAAACGCGGATCGTGACGATGTCATCAGTACTCCGGCCAGAATCGAAGCCGAAAATAAATTATCACGCGTGCGGGAAAGAATTCCGCTCGCTTTGCAGTAGAATAGAAAACGTTTCTTTCCAACGGGTGACTGTCCGCCGGCAGAATTTCTTAGTGATTTATGTTACATTAGGTCTCGTATGTCGCGAAGATCGAGCAAAAGGAGTGTGTATTCAACGTTATACCCCACGGAAACGCGAGTATAAACTCTGCTCTGGATATTCGTGGACTTGTCCAATTGAAATGCGATCGCACGAACGTGAAGTAGGTATACCATCGTCTGTGTCAAAGGCCCCTCTTCTGTTCGTGGCACTTGCAAGACGTCCGTGCAAATGGACCCTCCCCGAGAATTATTTTTCGTGACTGCAACGTCCCAACGCAAACACGGATTACGCTGATGTTCCATTAAGAAGTTCCGTGCTCTCTTCCTCGTGTTTTCTATCCTCGTGTTTTATCTTTGTTCCCTCACCACGTTCCCGTTCCTGCTTGCCCTCTGGTGGTAATCAGGACTTGGAGGCAATTAATCGCTGAACGACCGCGTCGATTAAACAAACGATATTGTCCGATGTTGACCGAGGGCGTGGCTATTTGCTTTTGGCGGCAGGATCATCCGGGGAAAATCAACACCTCAATTTTTGCAAATCCGTGCTGCTCCGACCGAACGGTTGGTGGTCGATGCGGTTGGTTTGTACATTCGAAGTGGTCGACCAGCCTCGAGGATCAGAGCTATCGGAACGACAGTTCCTTTCCAGTCTCTTCTCTGTACGTTGGGCAAAGTTTGGATAGATAATAATTTGTAGGGTTGTGAATGATGCTCGAGCTTCTTACTCTCCTCTCTCCTGGATCTGTCGAACCAGGCGAATCGACTTGATATCGTCCCATTGATCACCGATGATCTCCAGTCGATCTAACCTGACCGATCAAACAAGAAACCTCTTTGTCTACGACACGAATCCTATCAGCGTGATACCGATAAAGGCAGAACTCCGTCTCGAGGCCGCGAAAAGGAACAAAACCGCCCGCCGTGAAACTAAAACCATCGATCTCGGAATAATGGCTCGTTTTCAACGTTTCGAGATAAGTTCGCATCGGTCAAATTTTTGCTCGGTCTTGCGCTGGGAAAACGGGGAACACACAGTCGAACTATCATTCTTGGGGTGTATTCTTGTTCTTCACCACTTTATCTCGTAGAAGAAGAAGGCACGCGGTACCTCTCTCTACTTTATATATATATATATATATATATATATATATATATATATATATATATATATATTTCTAAAAATATATACACGTACATATATATAAGCGATATGACCGAATCACGGAAAGTATACAGCTAGCTCGCGGAATTCCGCAGGACTTTCATCGACGTTACAATAATAACTGCAATATATCCGCGGGTCTGTTCCTTCGAGATACCAGACGAGACGAGCCCGTGGCTTTCGCGGATGAAAAGGAGGGTTGCACGCGACGGGGACGAGAAGACAGGGAGTTGGTTGTTAAGAGTGCGAGAGACTGCTCCGGCCGACGACGATGCAACAATGGCGGAATATAAATCTAAATCCACAACGCCATCTTTCTTGCCCCTGCTTTTGCCAGCCGCCTCTCGTCCTTCGATTTTTCACCCCCTTTTCAATCTCTTCTATTTCTTTCTCTCCTCTTCTTATTCATTCCGGTTACCTATTTTGCTGCCCCGTCCCTCACGTCCCCGTCAACCGCAATAACCGCGCTACTTTATTTCCACCTCTTACTTCCCTCTCCTGTGCTTCTTCTGCTCCTCCCCTTCTTCCTCTTACTCGCGTATATACTTATGTCAACGTTCATTTCTCTTCGTGTCGTCCTCACGAGTCAGCAACTTTTCCGATTTGATAAATTCACCTCGTCGCTTTGTCCTCGTTAAATTCTGCTCCAAGTACCTCTTACTTTTCACTGTTTGTCTTACGTTTGTATCCCGCGATATATTCCTAAACCTTTCTCCCGCACGTCCGTTCATTTTTCATTCCCGGTTTTTAATTGTGTCTCTTAGCTTTCTTATGATCTTCTTACGATCTTCTTACGATCGTCCCTTATTTCTCCCCATCTTCATTGTCACCGCGTTTCTCCTCGGTTTTATAGCTCACCTTGAATCATCTTCCCCGCCAGTCGAGCTTTTCTTGCATTCTACCCACGCGGACGTGGCGCCTCTCTCCTCTCCATTCATCACCGACCTCTTTCATTTTCCCGTCTTTCTTTCACTTTCTCCGGAGAATAAATATTTCTTTGCCCCGTGACGCGTCTCCAGCCAACCAACCCCCTTATCAGTATTTACGACCAGACGTACGCGTTTCCCCGCGCAGCTGGTGCATAAGTCGTGCATAGTCTGCGCGATTTCAACCCCAGCGGGCCCAGCCTTCCCGCTGCGTGCTGTTTTTTTTTTTTTTTTTTTTTTTTTTTTTCTGACATTGCGAGTGTCTTTGACATTAATATCTGTGGATGGGAATTTCTCTCATTTTCGTTCTTCTTTTTTCTTTTCTTTTCACAGAAATCGATTGGAAAGCAATACGGAACATTGGAACGCTCTTCTGTTGTCCCTGCGCGAGCTTATCGAGTGGGTGATCAGGAAAGACACCGAACTTACTGGTTTGGGACCTGTTTGTGGAGATGTGGCCGCTTTGCAAAAGCAAGAGGTAAGTTTTTACACTAGCCTATGCCGCGAAATCATCCCTCGTTGTTGTGTTATTAACAATTAACTTCAGAACTATCGATCTGTATCGTATTTCTAAATATGTATGCGTGACTTTGCGAGTTAATATATCCGAACGAGATACCGGAAACGCCTGCAGTATTTTTAATACTTGAAGAAAACTCGCCACTCGAATTACCAATCTTTACAGTATTTCGTTTCTGTCGAAAATTATTAACTCCAAAAAAAAAAAAAAAGAAAATTTCCAAAATTGCCGAATAACTCGTCTCGCGGATGAAATCGACACTTCAGTCCTTGAATTTTCCCCACTTTTCACCTATCGAATAGGAACGAGTCGGAACCCTCGCTTCCCAAAAGATTCATTCCTGTGCTGTTCAAAACGGCCAGCCTTGAAATCCATCCTGAGCCAGCGACGATCTTCTCCGAGGCAAATAGGCTCGTGTACCTTGAAACCTACCGGCGCCCCGTAACCTACTGGAATCGACTGGATTACACGAAATTGACGCAATTAGGCTCGCGGTGTGTGCGTGGACATGAACAGTGATAGAGAGGGGTACGCGTCGTCGACCGAAAGGGGGTCGCAGCGAAGAGACCCCCCCTCCGGACGGCCCAGTTTCCACGCACAAAGACGTACTAGCTCGGACTAATCCAGATTAGAACGTGCATGTTACCAAGCTGCGAGTGTACAGGGATGATAAGGTGCATGTACCCCTCGATCCCGATCACGGACCAGTCATCGATGGACGACACCTGCGCCCGCCTCTACTTATCGTTCGCCGAGCGAAAACCCTAATCGGGCCGAATATTAATCGGGGACAAGAGTTTCGTGACTCGTCGCGCGCGCAACCGGGCGTTTTCAATCGGGCGTTGGGCATCCGGGTTTAACGAGGTCGGCCGATTACGCGGGCGAATAAATAAGCTCGATCCCCGAGACAGTATCGATTCGGCGGCCGCGAACCGACCCGGTGTGTGCTGCTAATTAGCGTTGGCGATAAAGTAAGTCGCGACGGATCGTTCGGCTGGCAGTTTCAGCCGTTTCGAATCGAAATGAGGGATACCGCGCTCGGCTACTGATTGATGAGCGTGTATTTTGAGATTGATGCAGGGGAGGTGGGGTGGCCAGCGTCGGGCACGCTTGTCGGCCGAGGGTTGCAAACCTGGCTGGATCCGAGGGTGTTATCCTGGAAACGATTATCTGAAAAGGTTCCCATCCCCCGTCGAAACTCCGCTACCTCGGGGCACGTACGCGACGTTGCGATTGTTGCGACGTACCGTGAGTCGTGCACGGGTGCACTGAATGGGAGGATAAACAGACTTTGTTGAGGGTAGGAGATTTGCAATTTAGAATTTACGAGATAGATAATTAAGAATAGGGGTGAAACTGCAGGATTGGCGAAATCCTCGTGACGTGGACGTAGATTTTTAAACGTTCAAATAAGACAAGGAGAATGTTAAAACAGAGAAACTTGTGAGATGTCAACTACTAGTAATCTCATTACAGTTTACTCGAGTTCAATTCACCTTAATTAATTATGCACTTGGCGATTGAAATAACTAAATTCTAGATGCTTCTTCTATTTTTTTTTTTTTCGTTTCCGTTTTTGTTTCCTTTTCGTATTTTCCGTGGAAAATTCAATATTAACAACGAAAGCTTTTATAAGTGTATCAACGCGGAGTATCGTTAAAACAGTAGGCATGTCACAAAGAATTCTATGCATGCGAAAGCACGGTGTCGTCAACTGTTATCCAAACGGTTTCAAAAGCGTAATGTATTCCACGCGGATATCAGTTAGTTCGGTCTGTACACAGGGACGACAAACGGCGAGGCCAGGGCAAAAAGATCGCAACAGCGTACAGGTGGTACGAACAATAACCGAGTTTCAGCGATATGCGATACACCGATGTTGCATTAACTATGCATGAAATTCAAAAACAAAACAAAAAAGGAAGCACACACAGGATCGTGCGTCTTCGTGTCCCGACACTCGACGATCAAAAGTTCGAAATTTCTCGTTGTAAACACTTCGAATTTCAAACTTTCGACGCCTGAAATTTTCAAATACTCGGTCAAACCTTGGATCTGATGCAACGCAATTTTGAATTTTATCGCATGTCCAGATCTTCCAGATTTGACAACGAGGTATTTAAAATATATCATGTGTCGTTTAACTCGACGTTCCTTTAAATGTTTCCAACGCAGAGTCGACGTCAATTTCAACGTGAAAACGGCGCGCAACGTTTCGAAATACGAAATACTGGCCACTTCGCCAGTTGTTGCGCCGTAAAACGAGAAAATTTCATTCTGCCCCGCTCGTTCTGGTAATTGTTTGCCAGATTGTTTGCGAGAACGATTGTACTCGTCGATCCCCGATTTCCATTTCTAATCGTCATTCGTTACGTTGTCGCTGTTTTTCTGGATTTTTTCCAACTTGAAATTTCGGCCAAGACGGCAGCCGCGCCGAGCTGTCGGCGATCGTTGAACTTCCGCGGGTGTGTTTCCTGTGACGCATAATTTTAAGTCGCGAACCAACGCCACCGCGAGACGACCCCGGGGAGACGCAAATGCAACCGAGTAATGACCGCGCCAGGAGTAAATCTAAACGAGAACTCGCCGCTACTGGATAGTAGTTGAACAATACAGCGTGCCACGTAATGCCACGAATTTCCGCGGAATGGCCGCGCGGATGGCGTTCTAATTCGCGCGCAAATTATTGCGCGTAAACGAACGACGCGACGCAATAACTTATGCAAATTACGAGGCATCACCTGCTGCGACGACCTCCAGCGCAAGATTGTGGCTACCCCGCGAATGACTCGTTTTCACCGCCGTGGAATTATAATTGTACTGCTTCGAGGATTCGTCGAAACGTCAAATTCACAGAGTCGTAAACCTATAGAGATCCTCTGGCTCGTAAAATGCGCGCATTGTACGCTGAGAATTTTTTTCGTACCTAATAAAAGCGACGAGTAACGACGATTTCATTTCAATTCTCGGAAATATTGAGGTTTCGCAATTAATTTAGTCCTCACCGAGGAAATTTATATGAGAGGAACGCTGCTTCAAGGAAAATTCTCTCAGTTCTCTTCGTACGACGGACATTTGTCCAGAAATACCGTGGAAATTGAAATATGTAAAAGATGCACTCGGCGCAATCGCGTACGAGTGTAACGATGAATCCTGTATTTCGGCGCTCTGCACCTTGCACTCTGCACAATGTGTCTTGCACCATGCACTTTGCACCGTGCATCCTGAATAATGCATCGTGCGCTGCACATTGTGCGCTACCTAGAAATTCATCATATACTATTCATTGACGCATAATAGACTATACATTATGCACTGTGAATTAGACAGGCAATTATGTACAGGCAACAACTCATTAACCAAAGTCTACGTGAACGTTCAAAAATAGTTTTCGACGATATGGAGCGAAACATGTTGCGAGAGAAAATTATGTGAAATATCTAGCGAAGAAGATGGAGATTATTATTCGGAGGATCAAACATTTGGATTTAAACTGGAGAAATGACACTAAAAACAGACATAATCTAAAATTTTTAAAAAGGAACATCCTTACACATCCATAGATAATAAAATTAAGGGGGGCAGGACAGTGTGACGAGCCTAAAAATTACGTATACTTTGGAGGGCTAATAAAAAAAAAACTACATATTTGATTGACATGAGTTGTTATGGTTTATTTTAACACATTATGAACTATAGAAAGCAACATTTAAAAAGGAAAAGAAGAGAGCTCTTATTTAGCTTTTCAACGGCATCGTTTTACATAACTTTTTTTTACGTTGCCTATCGGTGTGCGTGATTCCAGCCAAACAGGATTAGCTGCAACAAAAAGGCAAAGAAAGTTGAAAAGTAAACAATATTCTCTAGGGGTTGACGATCCAACATTTTCATTTCTGTGAAAATTATGAAAATGGCAGCTATTTGTTTTTCATGTATCCAATTTATGCTAAAAATTTATATGTTTTTTTGTTTATCGTCAATCCCTAATAATAATAATAAAGATACGTACCAAGTTTCACAGTAATTGATTGGTTAGATTTCGAGATATCTTGCACAGCGTTTCTAAAAACCGAGTTTCGCGTTTAAAGTTTCAGAACATCATTTTTCATATGTATCCTTTATTTACTTTTTTTACTTATATATTTCGGCCCACAGTTCTTACAATTCACAACTAAATTGAATCACACGAGTTACACTTTATAACACTGCAAACAGTGATACAAGTTCAATTATTCTGTATCCGTGGATTTATTATTACACTCCAAAATAAGTCGTTTTAAAGGCCTAGGACCTTTTGTATCTTACTTCTTTGTAAGACTTCAAACTGCTATTTGAAACAAAACAAAAGATCGATTTTTTCGAAAAATTTCAAACTGCCCTGGCCCCTTAATAAAAAATTAATAACTTTAATAAAAAAAAATTAGAAATAAAATAAAAAGTCTGTAGAATCGTCGGAGGGTGCGTGCGGGACGCAGCAGATCGGCGGCTCGTTTTATCGCCGCCTGTACGCGTGTGAAATCGGCGACGAACTCGGCTCGAACGACGCGGTTTCGTCGTAAACGGTTGGCCGTCGTTCGACGTAACGATCCGCTTCCGAATCGCGCTGCTTAACACGAAATCGATCGGGACACGGGCGACGGGCAAAAAGGAGTAACCGCGACGGGGAACGATTATCGGGGCCACGGAACGACGATTATCGCGGCTCTGGATTGATTTCAACGAGCGTATCGATCGCGAACGCGGCGAGGAGCCGCCGTTTCGCCCGGCCGTTCCGGCAAATTGGAATTCCTTTAATTACCGATACTTGCCGAATTATCGACTATTTATTGGACGTGGTTGAAAAAATTTCCAACGTGTCTCGCGAGAAGCGTGGTTCACTGAGATATGCTGCTCAACCTCCCACGTACCTTTTTATATACAGGGTGATTCACGTGACTTGCACACTCGAAGTAACTAATTATGCGTCCAATGAGAAATTGTTTAATACAAAAGTTGTATGATATATTTTAAGATGTTCATCAATTTTTCGAAATTTCCAAGTTCAGCTTTATTTTTTTTTAATTTGTTATTTACATGTTGTATAAATATATATCTTATTTTCATTATAAAGCATATATTTTTTTTTTTTTTTTTCATTATAAATCGAGAAAATATTAAATTCCAAGTAAAGCTAATGAGATGTTTTACGACAATTTGTGGTATCGTCAGAGGTTTCGACAATGTTTATGTACATATTGTACAGTAGGAGTCACTCTGTGGTCAGTCTAAGACGGAATTCATATTTAACTAGATCTCGTTTCGTATCATTATACTTTGATCTTGTACTTAATCTCATACAACGTATCCTTGTGATATTTCTTTCATACTATTTAATTACTCTGGCTATTCTACCGAGGATACGAATTTTTTCGTACAACGTGTCACTGATTAAATTTATCGGCTGCGTGTGCCTTTCATATAATTTCTAAATGCATAGAACGCACATAATAATCAAAATGCAGTGCTTAATACAACATCTAACTGCCAGGATTCTATTTTCATAGTCTTCGTGAAAACACAAGTTTATATAAATATCAAATTACAAATTTATATATTTATATAAATATTACAAATTTATATATTTATAATATATTACAAATTTATATAAATATTTGCTCGTAGATAATAACGTAGATGTTTTAAAAAATTTTCTTACAACATGTGCACCTGCATTTGCATATTGTAAATTTCTTTCTTCAATCGAAGATAGATGGACAACGTTTCCACGAGTTCGTAATGTAAAATCCACGCGCAGTTACACCGAGACGATGCTGAGTTCCTATTGTCAGGCCGGTGGAAGTAAGTTTAAGTGCCTATAAAGTTGGCCCATTTTCAACCGTTATCTGTAGACTCAAACGGGCGAACATGTATTCACGTGCGCCGGGAGGAATGAAACGAACATTACGCTTTTTAACGATCTCGTAGATACGGCGAAACAGACGATGCTCGTTTCAATGATGAAAATCCCTCAACGTTGAACGGCAACGCTGGGCTGCTGCTGCTGCTGCTGCTGCTGCTGCTCTCTCTGTGAGTTCGTTGCTACGAAGCACACTGCGTAATTAACCCGTCATTCCGATAACCAATACGATAAGACGATTATCTCGACGTGGCCAATTAGAAAATGTCTAGTGGCCCAATTCAATGAACGACGCTTTAGTCGCTCTAGATTTCGTTGCTAATAAATCGGCCTCGTTTCATCGTCGCTATCCCTCATCGTGTACTTTTCAGCATCTCTGTACTCGTTCTTTGGGTAGAATTGTTGAGACAATAGAGAACTGGAAGATTTAAATAAGCGAACTGCGACGAATTGAAAAAAAAAATTGGTTTAGGAATGAAAACGACGGATACGAAGTTGAGAGCTTAAGTAAGAGAGGACGCGTACCTTTCTCGTTCTTAATTACACACAGTATGATCTTGTTTGTAACTGTGAAATCTTCAGACTTTTTACACGAAAAGGAATTTCACTTCACACCGACGATGGAGAAAATGAAAGTAATTCAGCGATGTGCAACCCGGCGTTGGGATTCTTATAATTATAATTAAAAAGACCAGCCATGTGATTTGAAAGGAAGATGGAAATTACATTCCTGGAAACGATTAATTTGCACACCTAACGTGGGTGCTCTTGCAATTCCAACAGGCAGCAGCTACCTCGGTTTTTAAACGCGTTTAAACCCGGGGGGGGGGGGGGGGAAAAAAAAAAAAAAAGAAAATGAAAATGAAAGTGAAAACAAATGAAAGAGGCGTTCGCGAAAAGAGAAACAGACACCGCGGGTAAATAGACGCGTACCGCAATTCCGCATCGGCCAAGATAATTCCGCGAATGGTCTGCGAGAGAAACGTGCGAGTTTCAACCAACGCTAATAACCCGCCGTTTCATCATCACCCTTTCGAAAGCTAAAGGGCGTCTCTTTCTCTATGTATCTGCGTGTGCACTGTACGCGTCTCTGATGGTGGTAACAACGAAACTAGGTGAATTATTCCGGGCCGTTTGAAAGGATTTCACGCGCTCGATGAAAGACACACCCTCTCCCTCTTTCTCTCTCGGCGCGAAGGGGGCAAGAATACGGAAAGATTCGCGAAGGAAAAGAGGCCGTGTTCCAGAAGCGGGAGGGGGGGGGCTAGAAAATCGCCAACGAGATGGAAACGCGTGACAAAAAAAAAAAAAAAAAGAAAAAAAAGGAAAAAGGAAAAAAGAAAAAGAAAACGCGCGGCGTCTAAAATTTTCTCGAGACTCGCGAGAGATAATCTCGTTAACGAGAAGCCGTCAGGCTACGTGATATCGTGAAAGTTGCAGCTCATTTTCCCCCTACTTCCTCCCCCACCGTTCCTCTCCTTCTTTTTCATCTTCTTTCGTCTCCTCTCGTCGGCCACTCGTCGCGAGTCGCGCAGAGCCGGTCGGCGTTGCGCTGCCGCGACGATGCCCTGTCAAACGAAATTACGAATGCACGCGGCGAGATGAAGACGACGTCGATGGGCTGAGCGCGGCGTCGACGTCGCCGCCGCGTTTATAAAGCTGCCGCGAGAATTAGCCTATTTAACCTGTCAGCCGTATACCGCGAGACGAGCGAGACGAGCAGCTCGACCGCGAATGGTTGTCGCCTCTCACGGTGTGGACGTTTCCTTGTGCGTTGCAGGACGATCATCGCGGCTTCAGGAGACAGCTCGAGGACAAACGGCCGATCGTCGAGAACAACCTGCTAAGCGGCCGTCAGTACATCGCCAACGAGCCGCCGTTGTCTGACACCTCGGATTCTGAAGGTGAGTCCACTGACGTTGTTTGCGTTGTAATTTGTCATTTGCCGATTCGCGCGAGTAAATTATCACGCGAGAGTAACGAGTTTGCCGAACGGCTGAAGGGGAGCTACCGTTCTTCGAAATAAGTGCATGAAATTCCATTTACTTGAAGATATATTTTGTTTATCGAATAAGGCACGTTCTTCCAATGGGCCTCTAAGTTAAAACGTTCAGCGTTGAAAGAATACCATGTTTGTCCGTTCGTGAAAATTCGAAGAATTCGATTATCGGAAAATTAATTTAGTATTGATTAAGGGGAGGCGAGTATCTCGATGTGAGTGCCATCTCGCGTTAAAATTTGTGAAATTTTAATTAAAAAAAAGAAAGGAAGGAAAGGAAACATCGAAGCTAATTAGTTTTAAAAACGTGATTACTTATTATTTACGTCGATATTCTCTGTCGTTTTTAATTGGGATTTCGGCTCAAGAAATTCGCGAGTAATATCGAAATATTACAGCGGCAATTATAAAACGTAATTGTGTTGCTAATTAAAATCGAAGGAGTATGCGTTTGAACGTTTTATAATCGCTCGGCGAAGTAACGAAGTTCGAGGCTTTTAATGCTGTTTAAAGACTTCATAAAGTCGAGCAAAGCCTCGCGAAGCAGAGTTTAACGACCCCGGTTACCGATTTAAATTACAGGTTCAGCAAACGAAATTAATCGTTGGAATAAAACGTTTGCCTTTCTTTTCTTGAACCACAGGGGGGGGGGGGGGGGGGGGACAGTTTCGAATAACTCGGAAAAGAAAAGAAACTTCAGTCACGCTAGTTATTTCGTGAATCTCCAATTTTTGTTGGCTCGTTTCAAATTTGAAAATGGAATTCACACTTGAAAATTACCAGACGCTTGCGAAAGTTCCTTTTCACGAAACGTCGAGGTTCGGTTTCAATAAAATGAAAGGAAAAAAAGAAAGAAAGAAAAAATGTCCAGAAAATGATGATCGGGGAAACGCGCAGGACGAAAGTTTCCACGAGAGTGTAAAGAAAGTCGGCCAAGTACATTCGTTAGTTTCCTTGAGGCCGGCCGGGAACGCGCGCGCGACTGAATTCTCCAATAGCGCGCGGGCTTGGTAATTAAGAGGCGCGGGTAGAGCTTTCAGTTCCAATAATTCGCGGCATTCTGCTTTCCGTGATTTTTTTCTTTTTTTTTTTCTTTTTTTTCTTTTTCGTACCAATTAGGCATGGAAAGCAACGAAAAGGGAGACCGATCGGCGCCGGAAGAATTCCGACTTTTCGTCGTAAGCTCGTGAATTCGAATAACAAGGAGAAAATAAAAAGAGAGAGAGAGAGAAAGAGAGGCTTTTAGGATATTAAGAACCGCTCGTTCCAAGGTGCTTTGACCTGTGCTTGCTTTGTACGCTCGGAAAAATTGCAACCTCGAATTTAGAAAGTGAGATATTAAACGAATGAAAGATTTCCTATGTCTTGAAAAATATGTCCGACAATCTCGATGAAATAGTCATAATTCATCCAGGTATGAAATTTTGAGGCATGAAATGACGAGAACATCAGAAAACATCGACTTCGAGGGAGTTATAAGCGTGGACCTAATTCGTCGTCGTTTTTTGAGCGGGAGGGCAATGGTCAGGATTGAAAGCAGGATGGAACGAACGAAGTGGGAGGAAGTTAAAATTGATTAAAGTTGTAGCTTCAAAGGGCGGGCTCCTCGTGGGAGTTTGTCGCGGCGGAATGAAGGGGATTGTTAAGTGGGCTGATAAAATACGAGAAGTTTTCTCTTTCGCTTCTCCTCGTTTTTTCCTCCTTTTACTTAAGCCAACGGAACAAGAGCCGGCCCTTGGAAACGAGCTTCATTCGTTCTTGTCACCGGCTTTCACGTACAATAACCGCGGCGGACGTGTAACCGTTCTCTCTCTATCTCTCTCTCTCTCTCTCTTCTTCCTCTTGAATATTTCATTTAGATAATTCCACCCTCTCGAAACCGGGATTATTAAGAAACGCGAAACACGGAATTTATGGTTATTTGACCAAGAAGGATTCTGGCGAGAGGTTCTTGCCAGAAAATGGACTCGTCTATTAAGCGAGAGAAACAAACGCCACCCTCTCTCTGATTCTGTGGTGCTTCGCTCGCCAGACAAAAGACTATGCCTCCCTCTCGTTTCTCATTCTTGCGTCTCGTCGGTACAACGCAAGAACATCGTTTCCCCGTATCTTTCTTAATTATTCCTCGTATTAATTAGCTCCCGGGAAAATAAAAAGAAACGAAGACGAAACAAGAAGACGAGAAGAAACGAAACACGAAAAAAATGAAAATTTTTTTTAATTAAACGGCTACGATTCCCCGATGGTGTCGCTCGATACTACCGTTAAACGATGAATAATGCAGTTACTCGGTGTTAGAACGTCGAAACAAAAAGTTCCGCGGTCAATGCTAACGAAAACCACTCGGGGCAACCGCGTGGACTGTATCAATCGAGTTACAAGTATCGAAGTACACCGGCAGCTGGTGAAACTTGTAAGGTTCGGAAGAGACGACGTCCCAGGACGGGGAGATCGGGCAACTCGAACCGTGGAGACTTACCGGAGAAGTTTCCCAGGGAAATGTTACTCGCTTCGCTAATACCCGATACACTCTTTCCCTCTCCTTTACTACTTTTCCAATTTCCACGAACAAAGAAATTTCAGGGAACCGCGCCAATTCGGGATTTTCAAGCACGATTTTAATAAAGTTTTAAAAACTCGGCTTCTTCTCGTTCGCGCGCACACGCGACGTCTTCGTCTTCCGTCGAGATCGGGAGACCATCGTACAGGCCCCCAATCGCCGGTTACAAATTGCGAATAGCGTGCGCGATTTCGAGACGACAACGAAACACAGAGACCTTGGCTCGGCGATTCGGGTTCGATCCCCGAGTCGATTCGATTTCACGGGCCAAATCCGAGCAGCTGGCTGTTCGATAGCGGGCCAGAGCCGGTCGCACGATCTCTCTCGCCGGGCGTGCTGCGATGCGGCGTGTTATATCGGTTGAAATTTATTGACGTTACGACAACGCCCCGAGACTGCCTCGATGCTGTGCACGTTTCATCGAACGTGACTCCCTGTCGAGCGGCTGAAATCGTGCACCGAGCGAGTGCTGGTTGTCTTCTCGCAGGAGGCGCTGATCTGATGTTTCTCATCGGATCCGGCATCCGTAGCTCCGTTTGACGTTTTCTCGTACTACCTCTTTTTTTCTTTCTTTCTTTTTCTCGCTCTTTCTCTCTAAATATATATTTCTATCAATTTTTTTTTTTTTTTTTTTTTGTTGATTAACTTACATTGAACGCGATCGTACGTGTTTCCATCACCAGGGGCAACAAGCCTGTGCAACGTAACGCGAACGTCTCGAACGAATTGCGAGCTCCGTATCCCTCGCGATTGACGGATGGAGAATTTTCTGGTCGTTCGTTGCGAGAGTGGAAACCATTGAACTGATTGCGCGCGGCTGGAAACGCTGTTTGATCGATTGTTCTTTCGAAACAAACACGATCCTCGCCGCTCTAATGTGTTTTGCCATCTCTGCAGAGTGAAAGAAACGATACGTCTCGCGTGGAGGCGAGTTAAAACCTAATTGTCGTTACAACATTCCGGTCAATCCCATATGGAAGCTCCCTCGTGAAAAAATTGAACGTTTCGAACGCTTCATTGCCGAAGGGTAATTTAATGTCGATCGCTGGATAACGGAGCAGGGAGAGAGTCGTTCGAATAGGAAAGAGAGAAATTACACAAATTCCGTGGTCAGTTTCTGAAACAAGAGCCAAGTGGGAAAGGGGTCGGATAGAAAGCGTCGGGGGATGAAAGCTGTCGGAGAGAAAACGACGTCTATAAAAAAGAGGAAAAATAAAAAGGTGAGAGAGAGGGAGGGAGATGTGAAGAGAACGAGGAGGCTGTATGTACGTGACTGGAAATCGAATGCGGCAACTGTTGAATGGATGGCTTACCGATGAAGAACACGACCGCCTAATTCGATTCGGTGGAAATAGTTTTCAGGTGTTTTCCTCGTACAACCGGTGATGTCTCTTTACCGAGCAACGATCGATCTGATTTAGACGATGTAGCTACCTGTCCCGACTTCTCAATCGCCTTCCTCGAATACAATTTTCTGCCCACCTGTCGTGTCGTTGTCTTTGCCGTGCATCGCAAAGTGTTTTTCCCCGTACCACGCTTGGAACATCTCCAACTAAACGATCGCGAGGGAACTAAGAGATTAAGAGAATCGGTCTTTAGTTGCGATCAGTCCTCCTCGTCGGAATTTCATTCGTTTATGACAGTACGAATTATAATTTTTTTCACTCGGATCTGAGGTTTAACCGACGTGCTACGCACGTCGAGATTTTTTTGTCCCAAATTGCAACATTTTCTCAGTTTCAAGTATATTTAAATGTAACCCAGCCAAGACAAATGATAAGTTTATTACTTCTTAATCATTTCTATAGTGATATCATATACCAACGAGTTCAGAAGAAACAGAAAGCGACGAATTATTACACGGTTCGGTCGCTCGTTATGGTCCGCGATTCAGTTGCCAGCTTAAGGGATTAAGGAGCATAGAAATACTTCAAAAGAAATTTTGTCACGAGTTTTCACACTGCAGTGCAAATATTATTATTACCATTGGATTTTTACGCAAATTTGTATTTTTGTAAATATTTAAGATATTTTGAGAATTGGTTTCGAGAATTTTAAAATTCCCCATAAATGCATGAAAATCCGCAGCGTAATTGTTATATTCTGTATGAGACGAAGTGCATCGTAATTGAACGAATAACGTCGTGACAATGATAATAAAATGTTCCATCGAGAATTAAGAATTACGAATGACTGCTTGTGATGATGACCTCGCAACTCTTGTTATCAAAAAATTTCTCTGCAAACCTCCGAAAATATCCAAACGAATCTCAAATTGCCATTGAAAACGCCGCGTTTAATAAATTACCCAAGAGGAGGGGGAGGCCATATTTCTAACGCGGGGCAATAATTTTCACTTATCGTTAATAAACATATTTCCGCCCTGACACATCTCGTGCATTGCGGCGAATGATTCTCACCCGTTGTCATTCGTCACACGCGAATGAAAACAGACGGAGAAACGTGAAAGAGTGAAAAGCGCTGGAAAGGCTTGGTTTTTCGCCGCGGCGATGAGCGGATCGATCTGTCCGTGGATCAGGGTGCAGGGTGCGAGAGGACATAACTACGGAATCGAGTGACGGGGAAAGGGCAGCTGGCACCATAAACATAAATCATCATAACACGCGAGCAGATAGGGAGGCAACGAGGCAGGTAGGGTCGGGTCGGTGGGCGTTATCAATGCTAAACATGCACGTAAAAACTGTCGCGCGTGATACGATGCGTGATTCATAGGGACAATTAATTGCCGGTGATAGAACCGGCCTAGGCATCGCGGCCTCCATACACCGATGCACACGCGTGGCAACGCCATTTCTACGCTTCGTTACGTCCGCTATTACTACCCAGATAGACCTGAAATGGAGAAAAATGTATGGATTTTTCGCACGCTCTCCGCGATAAACATCGGCTCCGGGGTTTCGAAAAAAACCGGGAAATTGAAACCGGAGGGGTTGAAAGTTATTGATCTCTCTCTCTCTCTCTCTCTCTCGTTTTCTTTTTTTTTTTTTAATTCGCACGCACTCAATTTGCCGTGATATATATACGACGTGCGCAAATTGCGAGGCAGAGTGAAATTGTTATTATTGCTAAGAATTATTAATAATCCAATCGTTTCAGAGCTACCCGATATCGACGAATTGTCAATGTTCACCGCGTATGAAAATTATTAATTCACGTATTTTCCGTCTGTTTGCCCGTACACGCGTTCGCAGGTTGTTTTATTTGTATCTGATTCGTTTATGTGAAATCCTAGTGATGTTAAGAAACCGTTGGGAGCAGTGTTTTTAAATCTGACGAATTGTGAGCTTGTTTCAATACTTGAAACAAGCTCTCATGTTGTCGGTGTTTTAAAAATTACAATTAATTACGAAACAAATCAAGTTTCACAATTTCACGTGCAAATTACAAATTTTTCAATGATTTTGTTCAATTTAAAATTGCGAAAAGTCCTAACTTGTTAATTTTCTAATATTATAATTATAATAATATAATATATAATATAATATAATATAATATAATATAATATAATATAATATAATATAATATAATATAATATAATATAATATAATAATATTAGTATAATAACAAGATTAAACGATATTAAAAAACGGAACAAGTATAATTATATCGTTCAGTGATTCACCGTAATATCCCAGATACTTCAATTTCTCTTTAAATTCTGGAATAAAAGTAGAGAAAAGGGTACCAAGCGAAACCTTTCCTTTCACAGTCTCAATTCAAAATAATATTCAAGGTGAAAAAGAATCGAAAGTGAATTAAGTTGAATTATGAGATTTTGAAAAATGTGATGCATTGAATGTGGATTCGAAGGTAGCGATATCACGTTTGACGTTTCGTTTCAGCCGGAAGGGAACTGGACGGCGATTCGAGGGGCTACAGAAGCGCGGAGGAGCAAGCACGCGAATTGACGCGCAGCATTCGCCGGGAAGTGAACAAACTTTCCGAGCAGTGGAACGCCCTAATCGAACGTAGCGATGCGTGGAAGCGGAAACTCGACGACACCGCTAACGTGAGTACTTTACCCTCCTTTTACCTACACAGAAAGCCACTTACCCACGAACCGCACTACCCGATATGAATACAAATATTTTGATTCCGTCAAAAGCCATTGGCGGCCACGACCATCGAGGAGCAGCTAGATTCTAACCATCGACCACGACATGCGCCCTCGTTTCGATAAAATTGCCCCATAATATCACGATCAACCACCTCCCTCGGACTGTATCCTATCGGATGGACAATCCGTGGAATTTCAAGTTCATACGAACAGTGTATTCGTTGTTATTTCTCTGATAAAATTGCTCTCCAACGTTTTCCAGCGATGATCCCTTATTATTTTTATGGAACTTTCGAAACGTCGAAATTGCCTCATTCTTCACGAAACGAAACCATTTTTGTAGAAATGGCTGATTTTGCAAAACATGGAACATCAATTCCGTGGAATGGTAGTTTCCGGTCGTCACTCTTATTTCTCTCAGGTGCAAAGCGAAGCGAATCCCACGATCGTTTCGTTTGCAATTACGCCATTTAACGAATCGACGTGTCATTCCTCTTACGGAGGAACCGAGCCCCCTCTTACCGAGAACTTGCCCGGGAATTATTCAAGGTTTTGTCGTTTCGCTTAACTCACGGCGAAGTTGAATCCGCCGCTATAACGCAAATTTTCGTTTAATAGTATTCAGAAGTGGGAAGTTTGAATTGCGCACTTGCCGGGTCGCGAATTTATCAACATCACGGAATGTATTGTGTAGCCCCGTGGAACGGTGGCTCGCAGTTCGAAATCCGTATGAATTGCGGAATATTGTTACGATACATTACGCTGGGCGTATTATTTAAGCAGCTTAATCTTCAATGCACGTAATGCAACGTTCTTTGAATTATCATAAATACGTCTCCCCGCCGGCAGTCGAAATTATTTTCTTAACAATTTACGACCTAGTTTGCGAAATGTCTTTGGGGAAGTACGGGTAAAATATGAACGATCTTGTGATGAGAGAAAAATAAGTGCAATGAATATTTTGTAAAAAAAAAAAAAAATATACGTCATTGTGAATTTATTAAATTTGACAATTTCGAGCGCACCGAAGCTTCATATCTCCATCGAAGATTTTTCTGTCATCGATTAAGACAGCTTCCGAATCGTTCGAGACATTGCGATATACCGCAGAAGAACCAAGAAGAGAGGAGGAAAAGGCAAAGGAAAATATTTCGCGAGACGGGCGTTGGCGGGAAAACAATGGTCGACGATAATTCACCAGGACCGCGTTCCAACCCCCTCCGGTAAAAATACAATCAGATTAAACGGTATATCCCGAAGGATAAACAAGCGGATGTAATATTTGGACTTATCGGTGGTATCGGTGGGAGACAGAGTGCCAGAGGAAGGAGGCGAAACAGGTTGGGGAAAGTTGGTTCTGCGCGGGTTCAATTCGCCCCCCTCGGCCCTCCTCGTCTGTCGTATCGCTTTATTATTGCCGGTACAATTTTCTCTATCGCGCGGACGTTCCATTTGTCGAAACGACTTTGTGCCCTGGGGGGGAGGGAAACTAGCCAGAGCACTCCGGTTGGATCGAAGACCCGGCGTGCCGAGTAAAAGACGTGGACCGACGCTGCCGCGGCGGCGAAGGCGATTTTTCGCTGCTCGGCTTTCCACCGAGGGAAAGAAATCCGCCGCCTTCAGCACCTAACGACGTCGAAATTCCTGCGGAACCGCCCGCCGTTTTTCTCCATCCGCGATACAACCGAATTACCTTCGTTCCGTGCGAGCCACCTTTAATAGGTCTCGGGGAAACACCGGTTATTACCTTCGTCAGCGCGACAAGTCGACCGATTATCGACCATTCCCGCGCACCGTCGTTTCGCCGATCTTAGAACTCTCCAACAGACGAAATATTTGTTTTCCTCTCGGATCATTTCTGAACGATGTGTAGTTTTCTTTTTCTTTTTTTTTATTAATGTTATTACAGTGGAAAAAGAACTTGGACGATTGCTTCTCGATTTTTCGTGCTTGACGCTCGTGCCTCGTACGTTTTTTGATAGATTGAGAAGATTGAATCGAGGACCGATGAATTGAACATTATGGAGTAATTTCATTTGCTTGAAGACGATTTTCCAATTTCAAACTACTTGCAAAAAGCATCACGAGGCACTCAATAAATATCAGCGACATTAACGCGTGTTCAATTTTCAAATCTGCCAAATTTCAAATTTTATATTATGTAATATTATTCTACAAGAAGATAGATAGAGTATTGCCTTTGTCCACTAATTTGCCATTATTAATTATTGATACAAATCCATCTCACACCTACTCGTGAACAATTATCCTACAACTACCTTTATTATCTGACAATAATCTCTCTTTCGAAATGTATCATAAATTGTTCCTTGAAATACGACAGGATGACAAAGAAAATCCGAGGCTTCGTAATTCAGATTTATCGACGATGGTAACGTGGCCACATTGGCGGTGCATCGATAATCGCGTTCGCGATTCATCTGCCACGGCGAAACTTGCAAGTGCAAATCGCGCCTGCACGATCGTCAAGGTTTAACGTCGCGGATGGAACGCATCTCTCTCTCTCTCTTTCTCGTCCATTCTCCTTTCTCACCTTCCTCTGTCTTTCCTCTTCGTCGTCGTTGAACTCTGATTTCATAAGCGGCCTAGCGATTTACATCTCGCTATCGGCAGAGAGTAGCTTCGTCGATGGGATGTCGCCAATTTCGCGACATCGTCCCCGACACAATGGGACTCGTGATGCGTGTACGCAATATCGCCTGCTGCTTTATACGCAGCAACGTTCGATATTATCGATACCGGCGTGCCTCGTGACGTTCCTCGATCGCATACTGCGATCCTTGCTTCCTCTGTGTCGAACGTGCCAGTCGAACGAATATTATCACGGATCACGTTTATTCTGAACGTGGAACTTTGATAAAGGGACGTCAGCTTCGCACAGAGTATTCTTTTGTGTCGCGTAAAAATCAGCATTACCATTCTGCGGAGAGAAAGAGAGAGAAAGTAACCTGCTTGACGAAAAAATTCGCCCATCGAAAGGTAGAGATGTGCAAACGATTGAGTTGGGAGGGAGAAAGAAAGAAGGTAGGATTCTGCTTTGATTCGAAAGCAAAGAATATTCGATGAATCATCGTCAAACTCTTCCTTAATGGAACTGAACGAGATCCTGTCATTCTGAAACTGACTAATGTTTTCAAGAGCTACCGGACGGAAGGCTGAAACGCATTATTTCCAGCATAGTAGGCCGTCAAAGCGAGAGGCAAGTCGCGTTGAAAGGTCGGGGCAACTTAACGAGTTCGACGAAGAAGGTAATAAAACCTTCTTTTCAACGAGGCACGCTTAAAATAACATCGAGCTCGGTGGAATTCGTCTTAATATAATTCGACTGAATCAGAGAGAGCTTTTGCGAGAGCTTGACCTCGTCTATTTCCCTTGAAATCTGTACGCGTCTGTATGACCGATCCTTTGTCGACCACTAAATCCACGAGACGAAGAGTCACTCGCTGCTTCCTTAAACTTCCTCTCGCTTATAGTGGGCATGGACCACTTTCGTCGTGATATTTAAATGCAAACCTTCGTCGATTTCCATTCTGAACGCGCGCGCACCGAGTCCACGTAATTTCGAAACGAAAATAATGATTTTCACCATTTTAAAACAAGCTGGTCCTTTCGTATACGCGCCAACTGTGAGCAAAGGTTTGATCATTAAAATGGGAAACGTTTCCCCGTCGTTCGCGATACGAATATTCGACGATAAAGGCCGGCTTCGAGGATATTTAATTAAAGGACCGGGCGTGATTAAACGAACGAGATCTGCTAGCGCTGGAGGGTTGACAATGTACCGTTCGAAACTATTGGAGGGCGCTTTTGCAGGTTGCGTAATTTATAGGGCGTGCGAATTATTTGCGTTTTAAATAATAGGAACTCTACGTAAAATACAAAATGGGATATCAGGCGGCTCGATAGTATAAAATTCTCGATTTAGTCGTTTGTTGACGAAAGTTACGAAATTACAAATAAAATTAAATTATCTAATCAAATGTTAAAGAGTAGATGATGAACACAGGAGAAGAAAAAGATGGAGAATGTATATCAATACAAACTGGAACATTATTGAATTCCTAAATTATTTAAAATCACCCGCGGAATTAATACACGTTCGTGTCAATATTATATTTTCAACGTCGAACGATCCTTGTGATTATTAACGTTCGAAACGAAAGTCGCACTCGAGTATGAGAAACAAAAATGGCGGAGCTCGTGAGCCGGGAATGGGGCGAAAAAAATCTAACCGAATGGTTACACGGACGAGCAATTAAAGGTGCATCGAATCGCCGATCTTTTTACGATCGTTTCTCCCATACGGTATAACCGGAAGATCAAAGTTCCCGGCGCAATCAGCAAGCTCGGGCCGCGAATGCATAATTCATGAGCGAAACACAATTTAACTTTTAAATTCCACGTGGTCCGCTGGGCGCGCCTTAATTATCGGCAATCCGGTAATTACCGGCGACACCTCCGCTTTTTTCCTTTTCGGCCAGATAGCGTAATATTAATTCGATTTATTGCCCTCTCGCGATTTCCCACACCTCGACGTAGCTCGGTTTCGTCCCGTGTTTGGAGCGAGCGATCACGCCATCGGCTTAAACTTATTGTTAAATACTTGATAAAGGTACGCGGAAGTTGACAGACATTGACACGGCTCCGCGCATAACTGACATGCTCCTCGAGTAAGCGTGAACGCGTGTTTTAGATCGGGCAAAAGGATACGAGTGTGTGGAATGTGTCACGCGTGTCATTTCCCAGAAGAGTTTATAATCAGGTGAATCGTGATCTGGTCGCGTAGCGAAATGGGGAAACAATTATCGGGACAATTTAGTACACTAGTTTGTATAAGTATCTAGGAACTTATCGTAGAGGAATTTTTAGTATTGTATAAAATATCTTGTCACAATTTGCCATTAGTCAAATTTGGGACCAATCTGAAAATT